ACTGCCGTACAATCTGGTGATGTTTTCAAAGTCTCGGAAGGAGTTAAGAGCTGTGAGAAGTCAACAGTTCTCAATATCAAATTTGATGCACGCCATCTGTTCGACAAAATGCTTCTTAGAAAATACAAATCACAACAAAGGAGGAAACTGAGTTTGTCTCCTAAGTCATGGAAGTTTAAGTACAAAGAAGTGAAAGTGCTGCGACGTCTACCACAAAATGAACACGATAATCTCAGGGGAGGAATGATCATTAAAAAACTTCATGAGATGAGTAAAGTTGATTCTCGTTTTAATCAAAAGACAAGGATTGAGTTAGAAATGTATGGTTGGAACTATAAGAAGCCAATAAATCCAGATCAAATCCGCTTGAAGGGTATGTGTGAAGTGGCTGAGTTACAAGGAATCGAGTCCAGAGATTTCAACAAGAGAATTCGTGAGTTGCTATTTGGTTATTATGGTTTCAAAGTGCAATTGTTATCAGATTTCAAGAAAGATGATCAAGTGTATCATGAAACACTTCCAATATGGCTACTTACCAGATTCAAGTTCGGGAAATTCAGATTTGTGAATATGAATTTGCAGAAAACCAGGCCACAAATAGAGGATGTGATGGGTGAAGATGGCAAGAAACAACATGGAGAGAGTAAGCAGGATACAAAAGTCTTTGAAACTTTAAAAGACCTACAACAGTTTACACTTGGTGAAGTGATGTTCCAAATAAAGCACAAGTGGAGAGATGATCAAGTTTCTGTGGAGAAGACATTGGTAAAAGCAGCGGGCACATGTGGAGAGGACCTGCAGCAATTAGCCAGAGTTTTTAATGTGAGATGTTTGCGTGGTTTCACGTTTGGGATATCAGAGAGTGATGCACGTCTTGGAGAACAATCTGTGTATGATAGGATTATACTGGTGAAGGAGCAGCTGTTGCAAACCAGTTTAGTCATTCAAGAGGTGATGAGAAATGAAAAGATCAAGTTTTCGAAGCGGTGGTGGTTCAAGTATAAATTTGGGGAAGCGGGTTTAACGAGACAGTCTTCTTCCAACTTGTATATGACTTACTATTTTGCGGTGTGGCATTGTTGGAAGAACAAGACCATGGTTTGCGTTGAAAGGAGTGGTGAACACTGGTCTTGGATGGTCTTAGACAGAAAATCTGCAACTTCTAGTTTTTTGCTACTTCTCTATGATCAAAGAATGGGAGTTCCAGGCCAAGGGTACAATTTCATTTTATATAGAGACCATCAAGGAAGGTGCAGGCTGAAACAGAGAAAACGTCTAATCCAGGGTGAATTAGTGAAGACAGGAAAACTATCTAAGCTCAGATTGAAGAAACATCACATGTCACAGTACTTATGGAAGAGTTGGTGTTCTACAGTGCTTTATGGATATTTTCTTTGGGAACAGAGTGACAAAGGAACGCAGCTCTTATGCAGCAGGAGATTGGTTGTTTACAAGCTTGGAAGTGAGGCCAAGAATGTTGTAGAGGTGTCTCAGCGTGTGCATTGGACTGTTGAACGGGAATTTGCAAAAGTAGAACGAAAGCTTGCAGTCACACAAAGCCAAACCTTTGACCCTGGGATTGGACTTGAATCACAAGAGACTCTAAGAAGAACTATGGAGACGACATGGGGAGTTCTCTTTGTTTCGCATTGACAATTCCCAAACACTGAACCTTGTGGTCAAGGTTCTTCGAAGAGGGGAGATTTGATATAGGAATTAGAGTATGGAGAAATGAAGAAATGATGTAAGAAGACTGGCACGTGTGGCACGTGAGGAGTAGTGAGCTGCAGTACACGTGGAAAGAAAAGATTGGAGCAAGTTGGCTAAAGCCCTTTAAAACAGTCATCGTCTCTCTTCTTCTTCATTATGCTAAATCTGAGATTGTAATTTTCTTCTTGTTGTGTTCTCTGCTTGTTCTCAAGCTTTTCCTCATCGTTTTGCTGGATCTCTCTTTGAGACTCTTGCAGATGAGAAGTGGTGCTGCGTTACTTGCGAACGTTGTATCCATTTATCGTTATCAATAAAGTCAGTTCTCTGTTTCCTTTATCACAAAACGAGAGACCTTGGTGTTGACTTTGTCCGGAGTTGTTGTTTGGCTACTTATGGCAGCTGGCTCTTGATGATGGACCCTATGTGGAACCTCAACATTCTGAATCCCTTGACTGGTGAGAGGATTGACCTACCACTAACAGAGTCTTTCTTGCATGAAAGAGATAGACCAAGCTTGAAAACAAGCATAGCTTGTCTGTGGGTAGGTAAGAAAAGCCAAGATTACCTAGTTGTTTGGTCGATGGATCAGACGTTTATGGCCTTTACAAAGAAAGGGATTAACACTTGGCGACCGTTGATCGCTAACATGGGATTTACTGAACCGAATGAGCAAATGGTCTACAATCACAAGGCTCAAAAGCTCTATGTATATCGTCACGGTGAAGCTGTCAGTATCTGGTGTTTTAGTGAAGGTGACCCACAAATGGTTTTAAAATCCAAGTATAAGAACTTGATTGGCATCAATTATAACATGTCACAGTGGATGAAAGAAGAGGATGCATATTTTCGAGACTTCCTTGACGGATGGGTAAACATTGCAACCACGGTATCGGGACACGTTCTCAAGATAGCTAGTGCACTGCAACGGTCCAAAAGATGGCTCTTTCGCATTTTCAAGCTTAACAAGAGGAGGGGTAGAGTGAATTCGTTGGGCGATGAGGCATTGATCTTTGACATGGGTATCACTGTTGTGGCCAAAGACATCCCAGGGGTCAAGAGAAACTCAATCTACTTCAGTGGGGTGGGTTATGGCAGAAACAATCCAGACAATATATTTGTCTTTGATTTCACCACCCACAAGATTGAACCTTTGCCTCAATGTGTTTTCTCCTCCACTGACTTCTCCGATGCTCGATGGTTCTTCCCCGGTGGTTTAAGTGATTAATCTACATGTGGGCATATATATTCTTGGTTGGCACTCCTTGGGAGAAGAAGATGATTGAGGATGAATCAGGTTTGTCTCAGGGGAGGCTTCAAGAGTTAATTAAGAGGAGCATTATATGATCTTGAGAAATGAGTGAGAGGCTCACGCTCAAGCGAATTTGACACTCTCTTCAACATTTTTATTAGCCTTTAGGGTCCCATATATAACATTTATTTTATTATTAGTTATATTTTTGTGCAAGTTTAAACTTGTTTGTGTGTTGGAGTAGTGAGAAAAGCAAATCCTCACTCAAAGCCTAACAACATGCAACTACTGAATGAATCCAACAATTTTTTCTTGTTCCTTAGCTAAAATCGACCTCTAATTTCAAGAAGAAAACACAAACACTTAAACCAAGTGTGATAACCGGTTAGTTATTTAACTTTTAAACCGAGCTTAATAACCAGACATAGAGTTTCATAACCAATTTCAATTCCTCCGTTATGAGGATAAATATTTGTTTTATGAAACCCTAGGCGCTATATGACTGAAGAAGACAAGAAAAGATCGATACTTTGTTTGAGCAATGGAACAGAGCAAAAAAAAAGCTAATCGTCGGAGACAAGAAGAAAAAGAAGCAAACTGGTCGGAGCTATGTCCGGACTTGCTGCGAGGTATTTTCAAACGATTGAGTTTCACAGCTCTTAATCGAGCTAAATCGGTTTGTTCGACGTGGCACTCTGCTTCGAGAGGCTGCGTCCCTAACCAAAATCAGATTCCATGGCTGATTCTCTTCCCTCACGAGGAGGAAATGGAATCCAACAAAAACAGTAGTAGTTGTGTGTTGTTCGTTCCGGAGGATCAAGAAAAAGTTCACACAAGTAAAGATCTTGGTGTTGACTTTGCCCAGAGTCGTTGTCTGACGACTTGTGGTAGCTGGCTCTTGATGTTGAATCTTCTTCGGGATGTGGATGTCTACATTCTCAACCCTTTAACTGGTGAGAGGATTGATCTACCTGATATCGATATTCCATATGCAAGAAATTACTTAAGATACAACCGAGCTTGTTTTCGGATAGACAACAAAACCAAAGATTACCTAGTTGTAATGTTGTGTTGTCGTGTGTTTACCAAGAAAGGAGATAACAAGTGGCAGAAATTTCCCCACTTGGATTGTTATGAAGATTTTGTCTACGATCACAAGCATCAAAAGCTCTACATTCGCCATGCCAATTGTCTTGTCAATATATGGGATTTATCAGGAGATAATCCACGCAAAGATGGGTATCTGTCTCTTGATTGGTTTGGGTTCAATCATCAAGATTTTGACCCTTATCTTAAGAAAAAATATTATTGGGAAATGATACGCTGCTCCAGGACACGCACTGCAGTCACAGTATCCGGAGAGTTTTTTATGGTATCAAGTATAGTAAAAGGCTGCAAAACATGGCATTTTCACATCTACAAGAAAAACCAAGTGGATGGCAAATTGGTGAAAGTCGATTCTTTGGGCGATGAAGCATTGATCTATGACATGGGTATCACTGTTGTCGCCAATGGCATCCCAGGGATCAAAAAGAACTCTATCTACTTCAGTGGGCTCGATCATGACATACACAATCGGGACCATATACTTGTCTTTGATCTCACAACTCGCAAGATTGAACCTTTGCCTCAATGTGTTTTCTCCTCCATACGTTTCTCTGATGCTCGTTGGTTCTTCCCTTGCTAGTCTACCTTCACAACTGCAGGACATATCGCCTCTGTTCCTTGTTTTATGCTATATTTGCTTTAGAGTTGTTTTGTTTGTCTGTTTTTGCTTTCAATTCTAAATCTTGATGATTCATTATAATTTCTTCATCTGTTGCTGAGAGTTTAGCCTCACTATTCTCTTCAAACAGAGAACAGTCTACTAATTTATCTCTACCGATGATGATTGGGAGATATTTCTAGTTTTAGTCTCACACTACTAATATTCTAGAACGCTTATAAGATAAAAAAGGTTTCAAGTCCATTTTGTTCCCAGTGCAGAGGAACTAAGAAATAGAGCTAAAACAGAGACTCCATTAAGAGGATCTGAATAATTACTACACCTTATTATTTATTATCTCTTTCAATCTTGCAACAAGCTAGAAAAGAGCTTTGATTTATACTTTTTATATGAAAAAAATGGTTCAATACTCTTTAATTCTGTATCTGTATTAGTAAACAATCTATACTAACCACAAGAAAGACCAAACTTAAGGACCAGAAATCTGACTCTCTCTTGAGATTTTGCTACTCTCTTACATGACTGAACAGACGCATTTGTTCATCTTCGGGTCACCTTTTGGCTTCTTTTCTGTTTCAAACAAACAACATCTCTCTGTCAGGTCCACAACAGATTTGGATGCTAAAGTTGAGGCTCTTTGAGTATTTAGGAGCTAAAAAACCAAGAGAAGAATGTTTTACCTTTTTCCGCAACCGGAGCTTGGATGATAACGTGCATTGTGGTGACAGCGCCTGCAAGATTAGAGACAGGACTTCGGTAGTCTTTAACCGTCTTGTTGTTCTCCAATACCTTCCCTGCGCTGATCAACTTCACCTCTTTCACTGTTCTCGGTCCATTCTCCTTCTCTATCATGAGTCAAACACAACAGACAAATTGACAAGTAGTATGATCAGTACAAAGCGTTGAACACAGGTTCGTGTTAGGCTCGTGGATAACAGAAAAAAGTAAACAATCACAGGAACAAGTACAACTCTATGCATGGTGAGTAACATTCTGCAAATTGATCTACTCAAAAATCTTGTGAAGTTTCTTTTGCATAAGATATCCTATTGGGACATGATTCTCATAACTACCAAAATCATTGTTCCAAGAAGATTCAAGCCTTTACAATCTCAAAACACAGTGCCTAAGGAAGGATGTTAGAATTTAAAAGCCATAAAAGTAAATAAGCATAAAAAAAGAAAACTGACCTCTTGGCCATTCAGAAATAACAGTTTCCTTCAAAGCCGAAACAGTTGTAGCATCAGGGAATGCTATAGGGCCGATATCCGAACCATCGGTTAACCGAAACTTGATCTCTAGTTGATTATGTACTTCTGCCATCTATCCAAGAACCAAACAACCCACAGAACTTTCCTTTAAACCACAAAAAATCTCAAAAGACACCACAACACTTGACAGTTTCTCGACGTATCAAATTCCACACAGGACCTTGTTTGCTCTTTAATCTATCTGCAAAGAGCCAAAAGGAACAATTTTTTTCTTCAATAAGTGTGATTGTGAAGATGAACAAGAAACCTGAGAATATATATAATGGTTTAAAGCAATGATGACGATCTTGAAAACAGAATCTGATTATAAATGAATCAGCATGCAAAACAGCAATAACCAGAGGATTATGAAAAGATACACAAGAATAAGAAAGATAGATTTGCATATAAATGTAAAAAGATGAGAGAAATTAAATAAGAAGAAAGAAAGAGATCTAAACATGAATGAACAAAAACACGGAATCTCCAAAAAAAGGAGGAAACTTTAAAACAAGGAATCTCCAGCCAGATTTGAGAGGAAGCCGGAAAAAGAAAAGCCCTAATTAGGTCTCTCTCTCTCGCAGGTGTGTGTAATCAAATCTTACTTAGTGGTGGGCTCTGTGACTGATCTGAGCCGATGAATCAAGAACACGCATCAGAGAGGAGAGAGAAGAAATACAAGAAGAAGAGATCAAGAGATCTCGTGAGTGTTCAATGGCGGTCAAAGTTTCCATTTTTCTCTCATTTTCTTCCCATTTATACGCCTATCTATTTGCCCTTCTCTCTCGATTCCTTATTCTTGTTTCGTAAAATTTGATATTGAAATCACTTGGAAACAACGCACTCCTTACTTAATCCAGAAAGAAACTTTTTTTTTTTGTTCCAAGAAATTCTTTATTTTAATAGTTAGTTAGTTACTTGCATAAAGCTTTTGCTTCTTTGTGGGACAAATCACTGCAATTAAACTAAAAAGATTACCTTTTTCATGACATATATATCATTTTCATTTTTTCTAATAAGTATACAATAAATTTTAATATATCCATTAATTAATTAGCCAGCAAGTTTACAAATAATTGGTAACTTCTTTTATTATTTTTTTGGTCAAATGGTAAGTTTTTATATGTTCCATTTAATATATGACAGAAAAAAATTTCAAGTCATTCCCTATAATCTCATACAATTAAACGTGATTACCATTTTGAAATTTGTAATATTCTTAGAACAGACATTAAATCAATATGTCAAATTGTGAATAATATGTCATGAATCAAAATTTATTTTATTTTTATTTTTTATGCAGTACTTAATTGTGAATATATCATAAATCATATTTGCGTTAGATATCTTATCTAAAAATAACATCAAACAGTGAGATAGGAGGACAGGGGAGGAGATAAGCACATTGCATCTGACCAAGAATCTTCTGCATCAAGAAAAGTCTCATTGATTGATCAAATAGGGACCTTAACAAAGCAATAATGTCCATATAAAATCCCTAGAACCTAATGAAATCAAATAGTCAAAAAAAAATGTTGAATTTAACTGTCAAAAATCGAACCAAAAAAATATAAAAGAGTACAAGTGGAGTAAATGCAACAGTGTGTTGTTGGTCCTTGGACTGTTGTGATCATGACCAAAATCCAATTTCTTCTTGGGGGGTGTCCTTAAACCTTCCCTGTTCTTATAACAGATCCAAAATTGGAATCTTTACTTCAAAACCACAAAGAATCTCAAAAAAGGGTACCTTCTATTTTTACAGAAGAATGAATCTTTATTTCTCTCTCTCTCTTTTTTCTGCTGCTCTGCAACTGGTTTCATTGTCCAGCTAAAATCCAAGTAAATCTGCAGAACCCGCAAAATCTCCAGTCTGCTTCAAGATTATCTGGAAGCTTTCTGTTTGCTATTCCAAGATATGACAATTCTTTATGAAATCATTGGAGTAGTTAACATATTTTGTCCAGAAGGGTCTGAGATGCTCGAAACCTATCTCGAGCCACGGCTTTGATTGGCCATTGTAATGAATCACTGCAGCTTTCTTCGCATTTTCTAAGTTGGTGCTGCTCTGATAACCTAATCCAAGCATATGCCAAGACGAATCTATTGGCTGAACATGACCTTTAAATGCTATTAGAGCAGGAGGCAATGTCCCAAGTTTCCACATTGTTAGATTCGACTTCAGATTCTGCACATCAAATCAAAACCAGAAAGCAAAATCAGGGATTTGCCAATCTTCGAATCATAAAACTCAAAAACATTGCATGCTTCTCTGATACTTTACCTCTTTAAGCCAAGAATGATAAGTTTCTCTGATATTTGTCTTCCTCCAAGTCCGTAGATCGAAGATATTCATTCCATAAGCCCAAGCACATTCTTCAGGATCCAAATGCTTTGCGATGAGCGGGTGAGAGAAATTGAAGTAGTTCCTAAGACGCTTTGACATAACCCATACGTCTTCTCCTCGACAAGTCTCTACAGCTCCATTAACCTTCCCGTTAAGGTCAATATCCCAAAGCGGAGATAAATCTCTCTGTATCACTATATCATCATCTAAGAACACTACCTTGTCTAAATTCGGAAAAAGCTGTCCAAAAAGGAAAAAAACAAGCATTACACTCATATTCTCAATCTGAACTTTTCAATCATAAGGACAGAAACTTTCATCCTAGAGAGTAAGCCACTTCATTTATACGAAAAAGGCAAAAAATTTAAAATTAAAAGGACTTTTTTTTTACCTCTGGTAGATATATTCTTAGATGGTTGAGCAAAGATATGTATTTGGGACTTCTTGATTGCAGTTTCGAAGCAAATGTTCGAGGAGTTGTTTCGCTGAGGTTTGCACCAGCGATATGATTCCCATGGTAATAATTTCTGATACTGTTATGGCTTTCCACAGCTTCGAGAACCGGAACATTCTCTCTTGTTAACCAGTCAAACTGATGAACACTTTTGACTTCAACAATCGCAGGAGCGACAGAATTAAGCGCAAACCAAGAATGCATACCTGCATATGTTTTCTTGTCTGTGATAACATGAAAGACAATTTTCTCGGGTTTTGAAGATGATTGAACAGCAGATGAGACCACAACCGATGCAGCCAAGATATTGTCTGTAGCTAGAACAAAATGGTGGTAAGCATTGTCTGAGAGAACAGGGAGAAGCTCCGGGGAAGGAAGCTGTCTCCGGGCATGAGCATTGGAGGAATATTCATCAGTTAGTCTTAAAGAGAGACAGTGAATTCCTTTTGGAATTGAACTTGCAGCAAAGTGTTTGTTCATGAGTTCTGCAAATTTGGATTCCCTTATATCCCTTTCAAACTTCTCTACCTGTTCAAAAAGAGTACTCAAATCAAATATAAGTTTCTGATAAATCTACAATTTCACATTTTATTGAAGATTAGAGGGTGTACCATAGCTCGAAGTACGAGGGCAAATGTTTTCGCATCATAGTGGTTGTTCTTCATATCTGAAACAAGTTGACTAAAAGAATCTGGAAGCTTTAAACCATCTGGAATTTCTTGAGTGCTTACTTCATTTAGAATTTTGTAAAAATCTCTAACTAGTCTCTGCTGCGACAGAACATGAGAAAAGGAAAAGAAGAAAATCCGACTTAACAAAATGATACAGAGAGATCCAGATTATAAATTTAACATCTGAAAAGAAGCAATCACTCACCTCTGAATCATCTATCCTACCAAGAAGACGTGGTCCTAACCGCCTCCCAAAACAATCTGAAGCAAAAAATAAATAAAGCAAGAAACTTTCATTAGCTCATTACATAACCATGAAAATATGAGCTCAAGGCTTCATACTATGATACAATTGAAGCTCAATTGATACATATTCATGGATACCAAACAAGAAAATTGCAAATGGCGAAACTTTATTGACTTAACCATTGGATCCAAACAGCTTAACAAGATGCTTGTGACAATGCTTAGATTTAGCAAAATACCTAGCTCAGCTAACAACATTAAGGTGGTAGATCCGAAACAAACCAGTGCCCATCAACAAAACTACAATGAAACTAGAATGATTGACGGAGAAGAAAAAAGGAGGTTACCAAAGGAGGAGCACTTGTTGACACCTTCAAGGGTAACAACAGCGGTTAGGATGAAAACAAAAGGCAACAAGAAAGCGAGGATTAAGATAGTGTGGAAGAGAGTTCGGTAAGAAATGTGACGAGCTGCGACTTTGATCTTCATCAAATCAATAAACTCATTGCTGCTCGATATCGTAATGCTTCTCATGCTCGGCGATATGTGAAGCTGCATCCTTGTTCGTGCAGCCCCACTGTTGTATTCAGATCAATCGAATCGAATAAAACCCTAATTCCACCCAATCCCCAACCAAACAACATCACCTCCCTACGCGATTCCTCTTCTTCTCCGATCTCGATTCCTTCTCGATTCTCGATCTGGCTTTCTGGGTAGCTCCTAAATCCGATGATGTTAGACTCTGATTCGATCTTCTTATTCTTTGTAGTCTTCCTCTCTCAGACCGCATTTGGATTTACGATAACCAGCAAAATTCCGAATTTGAGATTCCCGCCGTCTCTTTGTAGATTGATTTAAGCAATTCGATACGAGAATCGAAATGGGTATTCCTCCGAATTCGTGTTACAGGCAGGATCAAAGACAAAGCAATGAGCTTGTCAAAGAAGAAGAAGACAAACGAAAAAGATGAAAGGAGAAAAATCAAGGCTTTTTTTTTCTTCAAGTGATTTCGCCGGTGGATCTAAAAACAACAACTAATGCACCACAGCCGAAAAAAGAAAAGAAAAAAAAAAAACGTAATTAATAAAAGATCTCAATTATAAATGGTAATCAAAATTTTAATGATAAAATGGGATTGGTGTCTTGACCTTGAGTTTAGGGTTTTTGTATAATGCTAATTATAGATTTTTTCCGACTTTCATGCCCAATCGAATAACTTTGCTCTTTTTCTTTCCCTCTTGATTATATCTAATTTTGATAGAAAGTCTGAGAAAAAATACATATATAGATAGACTAATAATAACGTGCAAAATTTTCAGAATTCTTATATATCTGATATTCCTATAATAAAACTGGAAATAAAGTTTTCTTTTTTTCGATCAACCTAAATATTTTCTTAACAGCTGTTTTTTTATATAAATGGAAATAAGTGGCCGCAAAAGAAGAAGAAAAGTTCAAGATTAGGATAGTCTGATATTATTTCAACACGTCACAAATATATCTGCAAATATTGTCGTAGTCATTTAATATACGCAAGGAAGGAATTTGTATTTAATTTCATTTATAATGAATATTGGCCAAACTAAATTTTGATAAGTTTAATTTTAATGCGAAGACCAACCGACATGATATGATGATACGGTCAAGAAAAATATTTAAATTAAAAGAAACTGTACTTTTTCAACTTAAGTTGCAATATCATATCAATATATATCGTATACTTGAATTTATTAACCTGTAATCAAACCGGAATAAATTTAGAAACGATTTAGGAGTTTTATCATAAGATTTGTTTATGATTGTATTCAACTCTCAAGATTTTGTTCTACTTCAAAATGTGAGTAACACATTCAAAATGTGGTAACTAAAGGAAAATGATTTGAAAGAACGATTCAAAATTCTCGAGACACAAGCAATGGACCTGTTTTTGAGAGAATTTGAAGATGGGTTTTTGAGAAATGAGTAAAAACTTGTTGGAAAAATGCTAAAACCATAACAGGGCTGTACAACTTTTAACACTAAACCATTTGAGAAACCAAAGACTAAACAAAGTCTCCTCTACGTACGAAATACAATCATCACAAGTCAGTAAGTCACAACTCCATCAGAGAACAACAATTGAGTTTCAACACAAAAAACTCCATTAGAGAGAGGGAGACAGATCTTCTTCTTCAATACTACAGCTCAAATATTCCACCACTAACCATAGAAACATTCACATCGAATCTAAAGGTCTCTCCATCATTTGTTCACGTGTGGTGACACTTCTTGTGACCTCTCAAAGCCTGTACTGACCTAAACAGCCTTGAGCAAACTCTGCACTTATGCGTCAACGTCACTGACCCATTATTTAATCCCAGCTCCAGCTTCTACTGATTCTTCTCTGCATCTCTTGGTTGACTTTTGGACTTGTTTCTCATTCTATGGAACGTCTGATGACCACCAAGAGCTTGATAAGTCGAGAAAACCTTCTCACAGAGCCCACACCGATGCTCAATATTCATCTCAAATCCTGATATTGAATCTTCAAATGCAGTTTCTTGACAAACAAGTTTCTGTTCGTTATCGGTTTCTTCTCTAAGAATTCCTGCTCCTACCAGTTTCTGCTGACCTGATTCATCGTCTTCTCTGGCCTTCTTGTCTGCCAAGTAACCCGAAAGCTCTTTCGACGTTCCAACAGATGCTCTGTTAATCCCCACAGGTTTCTTCTGCTCATTACTCAAAAACCCATCTTCAAAGTCTCCATCTTTTCTCAAATTCACCTCTGAATTCGAATCCAGAGCTTCACCAAAATGTTTCAGCTCATTTCTCAATAACACATGTTCAAATTCTCTCGGATTCGAATCCAGAGCTATACCACTAAGTTCCAAACCATTCAAGAACTTTCCACCACTCATAGACAACAGAATCAGAGACTCAGCGACTTCTAATAATCCTCCATCATCCACAGAAACAGGAAACATTGTACACGAAGAAGAAGAAACAGAGAATCGAGGAAGGATCTTCTTGTACCTGGAAACTCTCTTCGATCTCTTTCTCCTCTGCACAACACTGAAGCTACAAAACAGACCTCTTCGCATAGATTCTTCAGAATGCGTCACTTGGCGATGATTCAACAGACATTTCTCGTAAAGAAACCCTTTCCCGCATTCTTTGCATCGAATCAAGCTCTTCTTATTCCTCCTCCTCGTACACAATCGATGATCGAGTAAAGATTTCTGGGTTTTCTTCGGGTTTTCCCTCAATCCGTAGTTGCAAGAGAGCTCTTTGTAATGATTCATAGATTCTCTGAAACCAGTCTTCTTCGTGAGATTTCTCGAAACTCGAGAGTTTCTGAGCTTCTTAGGGCGGAATTCGAAGATGGGTTTCTCAAATTCTTGATGTTCTTCCATTAAAACGAAGCTTGTTGGAAGCAGAGATGATTGGAGAATAGGATTACGCTCATTACCCAAGAACGATGAGCGTAGAAACAGCTGAAAAAATCGATCTTTAGTCACTTTTTCCGAGAAATCGCCGGAGACAGAGCAGTAACTGTTGGGCAAGAATGATACGTAATGCTCTGAATTAATCGGATGAAGAAGAAATCGAAGGAAAATTTGGTTTTTCCGTCGTTCTCGGGAAAATGAGAAGAGAGGGAGAGAGTGAGAGCGAGCAAGAGAGAAAGTGGAAACAGAGAGTCGGATCAATAAGCACTGAGAAGTGAAGGAGAAAGGGGCACTTTAGTAAATTGCTTTACGGTTAAGAAGTGAACGAGAACTTTTGTTTCAGTTAGAAGGTTCGACGTGGCAAATGGCGACTGATGTGGCAAAGCTTTGAGCTTTTCATTACTCTCTTTAGATTCAAGGTTTTTGATTTTTATCGACAGAATCTTAGAGACTAAAGATCATTTACAAACATCATTTCTTTTATAAACTAGGTCTAGTGTATATATTTTGAATTTACACTGTAAATTTGGTATCATCAAGGACGATTTTCATTTTTTTTTTAGAGAAAAAAGGATCACTGATACAAACTGTTTATGTAAACTAGTTCTAACAGGGTAAACTTTTTCGAAGTACCATGAAAAAAAAAAAAAAAGAGCAATAAAATTTTCCAGTGACTGATATATTTGGTGACTTGATCTTATTTTGTGAATGTTCAGGCCAAAGCTTGTGTCACCATAATCTCAACACTAATTTCTTAGCTATGTCGAATATCAGATGATTAAAATTATCAATATAACTGCAACAATTAGTCCATAAGACACTGAAGAAAGAGGAATCACAATGCAGAAAAAGACTTGTGAGTTGGGTCAATAGACATGCTCAGCTATTTTTATTCAAAGCACTTAAATAAACATTTGAAATAAAACCCTAAAACAACCAAACACACCTCTCCTTGTAAGTTTGTGTATTTCATCATCAACAGAAGCACAATACGGCATATATTAGTGGAATCAGGCCTAGACGGTTTCTCCTGCAGCATTAGCCTTTGCTTGCTTCTCCTTGTAGTCTCTGACCGCAGACTTGATAGCGTCCTCTGCAAGCATACTGCAATGTAGCTTAACGGGTGGCAAACTTAGATGCTTTGCGATTTCCCTGCAAATTTGAGAATCCAAAAACAATGACTCATCCATCAAAATGTTCACCATATCACTAGATTTGAGATATTCCAAGAACTGAAACAGAGTTAGAGATAACAACCCTGAGGATATATCTAAGAGACATGAATAGAAACATACTTTGGGAAGATTGTTAAAGGGCACTTACGCGTTCTTGATGGTCAAAACTTCCTCTAAGGTTTTGCCCTTGATCCATTCAGAAGCTGAAACCAAACAATATACAAATTAAAACCTGTCTACATATCCCTGACTCTGATCATGAGCCTTTAAAACATATCGATCAAAATTGAAAACCCTGATTTGAAGACATACCAACGGAAGAGGAGGCGATAGCAGAGCCACAGCCAAAGGTCTTGAATCGAGTGTCAATGATTTGACCTGAATCATCGACCTTAATCTGGAGGCTCATGAGGTCTCCGCAGGAAGGAGCTCCTACCAATCCAGTGCCAACGTTAGGGTCATTCCTGTTGAAGGATCCAACGTTTCTAGGGTTTTCAAAGTGGTCGATCACATTCTCGTGGTATAATCGACGCCCTAACCCTAGAGGAGACGCTCGTAACCCTAGGTAAGCCTTTCTCGACGTTTGCCTTAGCATCATCATAATCTCTCCTTCTCCTTTGCCGGAATCACGGGCAGTTTTGATATATAAGCAATGTCGAGGGTACACGTGGACGGTGAAAATTATATAAGAAACTTTTAAATTGGAAATTAATAATCATCTTTAGTTTAACTTCCATGAAAATCAGTAATCAGAACCAGTAAAAGCTTTATATATTGAAAATGCTTGAGAAGCTTACAAATTTGATACCCAAAGTACAACGAAGTTAGCAATAATAAGCAAATCTTCTAGTCTCTTGTTCTAACCAATAATAAGTATTGGAAAATATCTCGTCAAGAAAAAACAGAGCAAATTATTTGATATAAGCAACATAGAGAAAAACAATCCAAATCTTGAGAATGGCAAAAACTCAAAGCTAAGCAAGAGCAGGCATGTCCTTGAGCCACTGGTCCAATGGCTTACCAATAGAGTAAACAATAAACCCTATCTTCCTCAGCTTCTCTGCATCAACAACATTTCTGCCATCGAAGACAAACGCTGGTTTCTGCATATTTTCAAAGATCCGCTCTTAGTCAAGCGTCTTAAACTCGTCCCACTCGGTTAACAAGCAGATTCCGTGGGCGTCTTTAGTGGCAGCATAGGCGTCCCAAGCGACTGAGACTTGTTTCACAGTGGTTGGACTCATGGGTTGAAGGTGAATTGGATGGTCCCAGTCGAATTTGTTCATGGTTAAGTCTCTTTGGATCTGTTCTTCAGTGACTTGTGGATCATAGATGCTGATTCGGGCTTTGTCTCCTAACAAACCTTTGCAGACATCAATGGCTGGAGTCTCTCTCGTGTCTCCGGTATCTTTCTTGAAGGCGAACCCGAGGACAGCAATCTTTTTGTTGGAAACGGTGTTGAACATCGAGGACACAATGCGGTTTACAAACCGGGTTTTCTGGTAGTCATTGATCTTGATGACTTGTTTCCAGTATTCCGCTACTTCAGGGAGGCCGTTGCATTCACAGATGTAGACTAAGTTGAGGATATCTTTCTGGAAACAGGAGCCACCAAAGCCGACACTCGAGTTCAAGAACTTGGGACCGATTCTAGAGTCTTTACCAACAGCATAGGAGACTTCAGAGACATTAGCACCAGTGGCTTCACAGAGAGCAGACATAGCATTGACGGATGAGATTCTTTGGGCTAAGAATGCGTTGGCAGCAAGCTTGGTAAGCTCAGCGGACCAGAGATTAGTGGTTAGGATTCTATCTTCTGGAACCCACTGAGCATAAACGTCTTTCAAGGCTTTGACAGCTTTAAACCCTTCAGGTGTTTCACGACCACCGATGAGAACACGGTCAGGATAGAAAAGATCTTCAATGGCGGTTCCTTCAGCAAGGAACTCAGGGTTGGAGAGAATCTGGAACTTGATTCCTTTACTGTTGTGCATCAGAATCTTCTCAATGGCTTCCGCGGTTTTGACAGGGACAGTTGATTTCTCAACAACGATCTTGTCTGAAACCGACACATCAGCAATCATCCGAGCTGCGCTTTCCCAGTAAGTCAAATCAGCAGCTTTACCAGCTCCAAGACCACGAGTCTTGGTCGGGGTATTCACAGAGACAAAGACGATATCAGCCTCTCTCACGTGTTTCTCAACATCAGTACTGAAGAAGAGGTTCTTGCCACGGCATTGCTTAACAACATCATCGAGGCCCGGCTCATAGATAGGAAGCTGGTCACTGTTCCAAGCAGTGATCCGTGGAACAGAGATATCAACAACAGCAACTTCAACAGATGGACATTTCAAAGCAATAACAGCCATAGTTGGACCACCAACATAACCAGCTCCAATGCAACAAATCTTCACCATTTTTTTTTTTTTTTTGCCTCTGCAATGAAATTAACCAATGAAATTTAAAATTCAAAACCAAATTCAGATATTTGATTTCAACATTTTAGATCCAAATCAAGAATACGTGATCATGCTTACCCATGAACAATTCAGACCACAATTCAACGAGAGGGATCAATAAAATTGAGAATTCTATGAATCAAAATATCAGATCTGGTTGAAACCGGTTTAAGGAGAGAGCTATAAGGATACGACTGCAATCATATCGTTTTTTTTTTCTTCATATAAACACAGATGCATTCAAATCGAAATTTCTGTGAGAAGTAGACCAATCCAGATCCAAATCAATGGCAACAAACCAATGAAAATACTTTTGGAGCATATCAAATAACGAGAGAGAGATGCTAAACGATGATCGTACCTTATGGCGAGCTACACAGTGCCAGTGGTGTGTGGAATTGCGGGGAAATTAATTGCAAATTGGCGATTGACGGTGAGCAGCACATGTTTATATAGGTGCTGATTTTTCGGAAATGCCCCTCAGGCTCTTAAAGGTTTATTACTTTTCTTTCAGTTTGCTTTCTTCTTTTGCTAATTAAATTATAGTTTCAGTTGAATTTGCAATTAACTTTTTTCATGATAATAATGGTAGGCTCACAAGATTTGGCAGTGCTACCATTTTTTTTATTTTTTTCGCCGCAGGGCTAACAAACTTTAGACGTAAATAATTCGCCTAACAATTTAGTAAATTTATTGTGTTTTTCTTTGGAAGTTTTTTAAATTAATATAAGCTGTACCTGTACGTGTTAATATAAGTTGCATTGTTAGTTTAGTGAATGAGAGGTGGAGTCTGCAAAAGCAAACTTGAGATCAAAGATGCTTCAAAATCCAGCCACTTTTCTTTTCTTCTTTCTTGGTTTTGAAGTGTTTCTCACGCTAAGATATAAAGTTTAATTCAACATAACCAACATGTTTGCTTTAAATAAGAACAATAATAAAATCCAAAACCGATGTCGTTTTATGTTATCATCAATCATTCCTTATATGTTTGGGCCTGGGCCAACCCAATTGACATTACAAAATTCCAGCATTAAACCAAAATTTTGAAATTTAAGCAATTAATCCGTAGTGATTACGAAAATCCAGTAAATGACTGAGCCGTTACATACATAGTCGAGAGCTTCCTCACAAGTCGCAACGGTCAGATTTTGCAACCCCCAATTCCCTCCTCTGCCTCTCTCTTCTTCTTCACTCACTCGACAAGACAAAACCCTAATTTCTCACATTTCTCTGTTCTCATCGTCAATGGAATCGACGAATGCTAAACACGAGACTCTGGTGATGGAACCGATCAGTTTTCAATCCAAGGCTCAAGAGATTTCGAAATTCTCCGAGAATTCTAACCCTAACGTCGTCTCACACTCGACTCCACTCGCGAAATCTGCCAAATCGAGTAAATCTTCTGCGCAGAAGAATCCGAAATCGAAGCCTAATCTTACTCCGGCGGTTTTCTCACCACGGAATCGGATCAGAGAGAGGAGGTTCGTGGTGGTGAAGAAGAATTCAAGCAAGGAGAAGAAGGATTCAGCGTCTGTGGATTGCAAATGTGGAGCTAAGACCAATTCCAACATGAAGAAATGTGTTTGCATTGCGTATGAAACTCTACGGGCTTCACAGGAAGAGTTCTTCAACAATCGAAGAGAATCTGAATCAGAAATTGGAGAATCCAGCCAGAATTTGAAGGATGGAGATGAACAAGTCGAAATTGGAGATTCTGATGAAATTAGGGTTTCTTCGATGAAGAGGAGAAGAGAAAAGGTATTGGAAGAAGCGAGAATGAGTCTACCTGAATTTGGTAAAGTGATGCATCTTGTTAAAGCTTTTGAGAAGCTTACTTGCTTCCCACTTTCAAAGGTAACATATAAGGAAGAAGAAGATCAGATTAAGAAACCTTTGAAATGGGAATTGCCTGGAATGAGCCACCAGCCTAAGTGTCCAGAAACTGAGACTGATCAAGTCACTTGGAGTTCTTCATTTTCTCCATCTGATTTGGTCTTGACAGCTACAAATCTGGGACTAGAACAACCTCATGCCTCAGTTTCTTCATCATGGGACAATAGGTAGCCAAAAAAGACTAATTCTTGTAAAATTCTCAATCAGTTGATCTTATGACTCAATTCTAACTTGTCTGATTTGGTATTTTTACAGTGATTCAAGTCTGAACTCAAATGGTGGCCGGAGGGGCAGAAGAAATGTTTGTGTATCTGATTTTGTTTATCCTCTTAGACTCTTAATGATTCCTCTCCTTGAATGGTTGATGTAGTGATACATTCTATTTATGACAGAGCTTGGATTCCTCTGCTTCAATGGGAAGTAGAAGATCGAAAAAGAAGCAGATCAAAGTCACTTCTCTGAAGCCATTTAAACTCAGAACTGAGGTATAAGAAACTTTGCAGGACATATTAAGAAAACATTTTCCAGATATTGTAGAATAGATTTGTGATTGTTGGTCTGTGTCTACGCAGGAACGGGGAAGAATGAAAGAAGAAGAGTTTGCAAAAAAGCTACACGAGATGACGCTGGAGAACGAAAAAATGAGAATCCCCATAGCTCAAGGTCTTCCCTGGACAACTGATGAACCTGAGGTGAGTTTCACCCTTTGATCATTTATGGAACTGTGTTGATTCTGATGTGCTCTCGGGGAAATTCACTTCAAGAATATAGATTTTGTAGCGTATCTTGATGTTTTATGGAGGAATAAAACATAAGCAGATGATACTGTGCTAGAGTATGAAAGATTTGTTAAACACTCTAAATGTTTCTCTCTGTTTTCAGAATTTGGTTAAGCCTCATGTGAAAGATATCACAATACCAGTAGACTTGAAGCTCCATTCAGACATTCGAGCAGTAGAACGTGCAGAATTTGATTACCAGGTAAGAATTTGATTACCATCCTTGTTAGAATTTGAGACAAATCTTGCCCATAATTGAGAGTTGTGCATGTCTTAACTTTCTAGTTATGACCTGAACTTGAATTTACACACACAAGCAGAGACGCAGAGTCTTAATTTTCATATATTCTAAGCTGATCCTCAGCTTGCCTTCACCTTTTTTGTGGATCTTGTATGACAAAATCCAGCATTGTCTCATTTTATCAGGTTGCTGAGAAAATAAACCTAATCGAGCAATACAAAACAGAAAGAGAACGCCAACAAAAGGTAAGTAGATGAGAAGAAACTCTTTTTGCTTCTTACGTAATCAAGTATGAAATAAATGACAGACTAGTATTGATTCTTCAGCTAGCAGAAGAAGAAGAGATACGAAGGCTGAGGAAAGAGTTGGTCCCTAAGGCACAACCAATGCCTTACTTTGATCGACCATTCATTCCCAAAAGGTACATAAAAACTCATGATTTCTGGTTTCTTGTTGATTGATTGATGAAACATTTTGAAGACTAGCAAAGAGATCTAAGTGTTGTTGTTTTCTTCCATTGTTGTTTATAGGTCGAACAAGCACCCGACGATACCTCGAGATCCCAAGTTTAATATACCGCAACACAAGAAGATAAGATGCTGCAGTACATCGTCTTGGAGTGACACTGGATCTTACATGAGCGACCTCTTGTACCAACAAGACCTCTAAAAAAACCTTTGAATTCAATTTGCACATTTCTTCAATAATCTTGTTCCTTGTCCATATCATCTCTTCATAAACAACATCTTACATTTTCCTTGAAGCAACCAATTAGTTGCAACTTACAAGATTTGGTTTCGTCGTACTTGTTCCATCTTTGTAATCATGAATCATCACAAACAAAAAAATGGAAAAAACCAAGATATTTTCTGATGATTAATTCCAATATTCGATTACCCGGTTTAAACATGAGATTACAAGACCAATCGGATATTATTTCCAAACCCGAAATGGTGTCTAATACCCGGTTTGATTGCAACGTATTTAACTTTAATAATTCGAGTTTTAGTTAAAAATTAAAACAATTTAATTAAAAATTATTAGTGAAAAAACCTTAAAACACAACTAAATGTTAAAATTAAAATACGTTAAAAACATGTTAAACTTATGATACCACAAGACTTACGAACCAATAATACGGGATCCTAAATTCGGTTGTATTTAAATTTAGGGAGACTCACAAAAATGCCCCTTTTTCAATACCCTTTTTCAAAAATGCCCCCTTTAGCTGTCCATTTTTAAAAATACCCCTTTTTATGTACAAAATGACTAAATTACCCTTCTTTTAATAAAAGATATCACAAATATATAAGGAAATATAACAAAATTAGGTCCACAAAATACAAAATATTTTTTGGCGAGAAAAGTGATCCCGCAATTTTTCCCGCCAAAACACTTGTAAAAACTTGTAAAACCTTTAAAATACCTTGTAAATTTTCCCGTAAAATTTTTTCTCGCCAAAAAATTTTTCCGCCAAAAAAACATTTTTGCGGGAAAAGTGATTCCGCAATTTTTTTTGTGTTAAATTTTTGGCGGAAAAAATTTACAAGGTATTTTAAAGGTTTTTTACAGGGTATTTATAAGGTTTTACAATGTATTTTAAAAGGTTTTACAACGTATTTATAAGGTATTTATAAGATATTATAAGATTTTACAAGCTATTTTATAAGGTTTTACAAGTTTTTTATAAGGTTTTACAAGTTATAAATACCTTATAAAACCTTATAAGTACCTTGTAAAACCTTTTAAAATACATTGTAAAACCTTTTAAAATACATTGTAAAACCTTACAAAACACTTGTAAATACTCTGTAAAACCTTTAAAATACCTTGTAAATTTTTCCCGCCAAAAAATTTCCCACCAAAAAAATTGCGGAATCACTTTTCCCGCAAAAAATATTTTTTGGCGGGAAAAATTTTTACGGGAAAATTTTACAAGGTATTTTAAAGGTTTTTACAAGTGTTTTGGCGGGAAAATTGCGGGATCACTTTTCCCGCCAAAAAATATTTTGTATTTTGTGGATCTAATTTTGTTTCAAATAAGGGTAAAATGGTCATTAAAAATTAAAAAAGGGCAAACTTAAAAATGGACTCTCAAAGGGGGCATTTTTGAAAAGGGGTATTGAAAAAGGGGCATTTTTAACAATTTCTCTTAAATTTAAAGCTTAGAAATTTCAAAAAAATTTTATAATACAAAAGAAATATTTTTCAAAATCAAAACAATTTAAGACCTAAAAACATAACTAAGTGTTAAAAATTAAAATATGTTAAAAAAAAACATGTTGAACATGTGACACTAAAAGACTTACGGACCGGAAAGACGGAATGCTAAGTTTTCAACATAATTTAAATTACACACTTAATTGCGGAGTTTTCGAACTCTGTCTTTTCTTAATTATAATTGCTGAGTTTAATTATTTATTTTAAATTTTATAGAGAATCATATTATTATTTTAAAAATTTTAAATTTTTGTGAAAATTATTATTATTATTTTAAAATGAAAATTTTAGTTAAAATCTCTATTAATTTTTAAAAATGAGTTTAAGTGTTAAATCTATATTACGTGAAAACCTGCCGAACTTCAAACACCAAAACTTACGGACCAACTAAGGACATGATGCCTAGGCGCGGTTAGTTTTCGATGTTTTTAAAATTGAACACTTAAACTCATTTTTAAAAAGTATTGAACACTCAAACTAATTTTCAAAAAGTAATAGTGAAATTAACATGGTTTTAGTTAAAAAAATTGATTAGTTTTTTAAACTATAAGTGTTAAATTTGTTTTAAATTTTAGTTAAAATCATTATTTTAAAAAATTAGTTTAAGTGTTAAATCTATATTACGTGAAAATCTGACGAACTTCGAACACCAAAACTTACAGACCAACTAAGGACAGGATGCCTAGGCGCGGTTAGTATTCGACGCTTTTAAAATTGTACACTTAAACTAATTTTTAAAAAGTAATAGTGAAATTAACATGATTTTAATTTAAAAAAAATATTTTTTTAAAGTTTGAGTGTTAATTTGTTTTAAATTTTAGTTAAAATCAATATTAATTTTGAAAAATGAGTTTAAGTATTAAATCTATATTACGTGAAAACCTGCCGAACTTCGAACACCAAAGCTTACGGACCAACTAAGGACAGGATGCCTAGGCGCGGTTAGTTTTCGACGTTTTTAAAATTGAACAGTTAAACTAATTTTTAAAAATTAATAGTGAAATTAACATGGTTTTAGTTAAAAAAAAATTAAATATTTTTTTAAAGTTGAAGTGTTTAATTTGTTTTAAACTAATTTTTAAAACTAATAGTGAAATTAATATAGTTTTAGCTAAAAATTATTTATTGTTTTTTTAAAGTTTAAGTGTTTGATTTGTTTTAAATTTTAGTAAAAATCATTATTTTTTAAAAAATATCTAAATTATTATGATTTATGATTAAAAAAAAAAAAAAAAGTAAGAAAGAAAACCTACCTGGTAATTGTGAAATCCTCAGGAGTGGTAGTTGTGAAATCCTTAGGAGTCGTCATCGTGGTTGTTCTGAAACTTCTTCACATAGCACCAATTCTCCTGACAAACGACGACTATTGCGAACAGGGAACCTCTCTTCGCTATCCTTATGCACGCCAGGGCAATCCTTTACCAAGCCTGCGAATATATCATAAACTAAAAAAGTAAGATTATGATTCATGGAGATCAAATCCAAACAAGCAAAATACACAAATCGGATTAAGGAGAGTTCTTAACCTCTGTGGAGATCGGTCGAAAAATCTCCGATTGAACAACCGATGTCAATTCATTCATCTCCATGCCCTTTTCCGTCTCTTCCGATTCATGGCGACTCCGGCGCATGAGATAGTTAATCGTTTTTGGACCTTTTGGTCCTCTTTTGTGTTACCACGCCGATCACTCTAACAACTCTTAAGGATCATGTTGCAAAGATAATCATCATCGGGCTTTGACTTCTTCAATATGTTGCAGAGATGGATCATCATCCGAATTCTCAGAGTTTCAAGAAGAAGAAGAAGATAGAGAGAGTTTTGTCTCTCAAGGAAGAAATATAAAGAAGCAAAGTGTTAATTAGGTCAATGTTGTTATTATATATACACAAGAGATTACATACAATAGAGCCGTTGGAGGCAAGTTATGTTTCCTTTTTTTTAATACAAAGAGAAAAAGGAAATTGCGATCTCAATTTCCTTTTCTTTCTTTCAATGGGCTTTATTTCCTTTTCTTTTTTCTTTCCATGGTTTTTTTATAAAGCATAAGCAGCAGAGATTCTGAGAATTTTTATTGATACCAATTTCTCTTCTTGCACAATGAAACGATTTTATTATGTTATGTCACAAAGTTTCAAACTTATTGTATCGAAAACGTTACAACATATATACACAAGTGAACATAATGCCGTTTGAAACCAAAACTAGTTGTTTCTTCTTCTACTTTACAGTGTGTTTGAATCCAAGTATTTGTTTCTATCTTCCACCAGATAATTCTATGGCATCTTGATTGTTAATGGAATCAAATCTCCTCTGCAACCTCTGAAACTCTTCTTGTCTCGTCACTTCAAGATTCTGCCATTCTTCCCATCTCTCTGCAAGCCCTTCTCCTCCTAACAATCGATGTTCATATCTTGTTCTCTAGAATTAATAATCGATGACATAATGAAAAACGAAAACAGAGCAAGAACCCAAATCAAAGACTTGTCTAATGGTCATCATAGTTGAATGCTAGCTCCAATATCTGCTCATATTCATCCGCAAACTGAACATGGATCCCTTCTTTCAAATTGTTCATCAAAGTGATCACTTCTTTTTGTTTTGTTTATGTGAGTGAATCTGCTGAGTTTATTAAAGGTGAAGAATCAACTCATTGCCTGAGTCGATAAGGTTGATGATCCGATCCTCAAAAAACAGAGATGGAGTTGATGGAATCAAATCTCCTCTGCAACCTCTGAAACTCTTTCATGTTAGGATCATGATTCATAAGAGTACTTCCAAGTCCAAAGTACGTTGGTACTGGCTGCATCTTCCTCCTAGAGCAACAGAGAGCATCATTGCTGGTTTGGAACAAGAAAGGTCGAGACTATCTCTAAGGAAACCAAAAGCTAGCTATGATGAAGAAAGATGACATCTCTTTGCCTATGAATGGAGAGAATACAACAAAGAATGTAATGTGATGGAGACCCGTTTTCCGGGACCTTGTGTATATCTCTTTGCTTCTCTTCTCCCAAAGAGATTTGGTTACTCAAAAAAGACCCGTTGTCCGGGAGCTGATCTAGTACATGTGTTTGTAGAATAAATGCAAGTTGTGCTGAGAAGAAAAGCAAAGAGGAAATGAGTTTTGAAATTGGTTATTCTTATACGAGATTGTGTATATCTAAATGCAGATCCAGTTTATGGAGCAGAAGCAGATTAAGAGAAAACGGCAATACAGAAGGATGATAAGAAATTTAGGGTGAAGTAACCATATCCTTAAATTGGAGGGACACAAAAAATACGGAAGAAGACAGATAAGTTTAAATGTTCAAAGCCATCCCCAAAAAGATAAAAATTTCTGAACATTATGAGTGCAAGTCTTGAGCATGAAATGGTAACATTTCTTAAAAGTAAAGATAAAGACTAAAAGCACAATGGATTCAAAAGTAGAAGAAGAACAAAAAAGAACATTAAGATCTTCAAGGTTCAACTGCAATACGGCCAGCAACCTGGTCCAAATCCCGTTGGCCACTGGAAGTGATTCTTCTTCCTCTGAAAAAAGAAGAAGAGTGAATACAATTAGCATTGCTCAAACATCTTTAAGGAGAAAGACCTCTTAAGTAGTAGAGGTAGTAATGTTACCCTTTGGTGTCGAGCTCAACAATGTTCATTGTCTCCAACTGCTGGAGGATGTGACGGGCAATGCCTCCGCTGCTTTTGCAAAAGTGAGGTGGGCGACTACCGTTCCTCTTGCTGCCACCATAGATTCTACGGAAAGCACCAACACCAAGTCCTCCCCTAAGGTAAACCTTCCTAGCCATAGATGCTGCATAAGAAAAACGTTTTGTCAAATAAAAAAACCTTTAAATGCATTGAGAAATAGACAAAACTAGAGAGAAAGGGAGCTTACCAGCTCTGATGTAGTACCAATCAGGATCATATGGTGCAAGCTCCTTCAACTTTCCGGTCTTCACAATGTCTGTCCATGTGGGAAGCTCGATCTGAAACAAACAATAGACATTACATTATGGTCTCGTGAAAACCACAAACAAGAAATACCAAACAACTAGAGCTGTCTATCAACAATGGTAAAAAGTGGGAGCTCAACCTTCAATTACTGCACTTGCTAGTCTAAATTGATTCAACAGATATAACAAAGCCAATCACATTAAGAACATCAAGCATTTGAATCGTAAGAAAAACTACACTTAACAGACATTATGCAATTCAAAGTACTATGGTCTAAGAGAAATGCTAACAAGCAAAAAAATCAACAGAAACATCTATGAACTATGAAAAACATTGCAATTTGAGCTTAATTTACAGTTATTCCAATACATAACAATCTAGCAGAACACACCTGTTGGATACTTGGGTTGATTCATTTCAGAAAAAGGTTTGATTTGTACATATAAAGCTTCAACAAATAAAGATTGGAACATTTCTACTCTTAACAAAATAAAGAAGAACACTCATCCACTAACCTTGCCAGATCGCTTGAGATGAGAAGCATAAGCCTTGACGAAGTCATGAGGAGAGACGTCTTTCACAGTTTTACCAGTTGCCATGGCTCAAAATATCAATAGACTAATAATCACTGTTCTTCGTCTGGGATTTTGCCCAACGCAGCTGAATCTCTCTCCGCAAAGACTAGGGTTTTTTATTCTCCATTAACAAAGTTTATATATACGGCCACGGTATTTCGATTAGGGTTTTCTCCCGAATCCGGCTCCAAAACCCGACCCGTTCTCAGCCCACGCTAATTGATACGATAATGGGCCTACTACGGCCTTATTATATAAGTTGACTAGTATTATGTCGTGAAACGACATCGTCTCAATAGACCTATAACACGTCGACGTTTTATAATCGCTTAACCACTGGCTATTAGTTCGCATCTCGAGTCGTCTCTGCCATTTTTGGCTTTTTAATCAAACCCTAGAGAGATTGAGAGACCGAAGAGAAGCCATCATCAGCAATGGCGATGAAGAATCTACTGTCCCTAGCACGCCGATCTCAGAGGCGTTTGTTTCTCAGTCAAGCCACACGATCTTCCTCTTCCTTCTCAGCTATCGATACGGCGCCGGCTTCCACATCTCCGGCGACTCCATCACCTCCGCCGCCGCATGTTATGCCGTACGATCACGCGGCAGAGATTATGAAAAATAAGATCAAGAAGCTCGAGAATCCGGATAAGAGGTTCCTTAAATACGCATCTCCACATCCGATCCTTGCTTCCCACAATCACATCTTGTCAGCTCCGGAGACTCGTGTCACTACCTTGCCCAATGGTCTACGAGTTGCTACTGAGTCCAATCTCTCGGCTAAGACCGCCACCGTTGGAGTCTGGATCGACGCTGGATCTCGGTTTGAGTCGGATGAGACCAACGGGACGGCTCATTTTCTGGAGCATATGATATTCAAAGGCACGGATAAGCGTACAGTGAGAGCGTTGGAGGAAGAGATCGAAGATATTGGTGGTCACCTGAACGCGTATACATCGAGGGAACAGACCACTTATTATGCTAAGGTTTTGGATTCGAATGTGAACCAGGCTTTGGATGTCTTGGCTGATATCTTACAGAATTCCAAGTTCGAGGAACAGAGAATTAACCGCGAACGAGATGTCATCCTCAGGGAAATGCAAGAGGTAATGTATTTATCTGTGTACTTCAAAATCTAAACTTTTTGTTCTGTTCTCGATTTTTCTTTGGTATTTTAAGATTGTATTGACTTAATTACATGCTGTATAAACAGATTTAACAGTGTTTGGTCCTACGGACCGTAGTTTGTGTTTTTTTTTTAGTTTCAGTTTCCCTTGTGCCTAAAAATGAAAACTTTATTATGTTCTTAGTTTAGCTGCCTCTTTTTAAGGCTGTATTGGCGTAATCATATGTTGTATAAAGAATTGTTATTGTGCTTTCTTAAATCAATACTCTAAAAATTAAAACTTTGTTCTGTTTTTCATTTAGCTCTCGCATTTTGAGGTTTTATTGGCTTAGTCATATGTTGGTCGTATTGTTGTTGGGAAATTTGCATTAAGGGAGATATTAGAGCGCTTGCTACTATGGTTTACGTGTTTCTTGGAGTTATTTGTTTCTTTAATCAGTTTAAGATAGAATACACACTAAGCTATAGCTTTTTGGTGATTGGTTTTGTCTTAGGTGGAGGGACAAACAGATGAAGTGGTTCTTGACCATTTACATGCCACTGCATTCCAATACACACCCCTTGGGAGAACTATTCTGGGACCTGCTCAGAACGTCAAATCAATCACCAGAGAGGATCTACAGAATTACATTAAGACTCACTACACAGCTTCCAGGATGGTATAAATTTTCAATTACTTCTTATCGTTTCCTACAATCAGATATTGAACTTTGTTAGGATTCTTATGTTGGTTTATCCAAAACATTTTCAGGTGATTGCTGCTGCAGGAGCTGTCAAGCATGAGGAAGTTGTTGAGCAAGTGAAGAAGCTATTTACCAAGTTGTCATCTGATCCAACAACTACTTCTCAACTGGTTGCCAATGAACCTGCTAGTTTTACTGGTTCTGAGGTAAGGACACAACCCATATGATTTATTTTTTGATCCAGTGTTCCATCTTTCTAAATTCTCTAGTCCTTGAAATTCTTCTCAGGTCCGAATGATTGATGACGACCTACCCCTTGCACAATTTGCTGTTGCCTTTGAGGGAGCATCTTGGACTGATCCAGATTCCGTTGCTCTTATGGTTATGCAAACTATGTTGGGTTCTTGGAACAAAAATGTTGGTGGGGGAAAACACGTGGGGTGAGTTTGCTCTCTGGCTAATATTTCTAGCCATGGATTCAAGGAGAAGCTTTTTTGCAATGTGTTGATGAACATTATATTTCTATGTGCAGTTCTGACCTGACCCAGAGGGTTGCCATTAATGAAATAGCAGAAAGCATAATGGCATTCAACACCAACTACAAGGATACTGGACTGTTCGGCGTTTATGCAGTTGCTAAGGTCAACCAAAAATTTCTTGATATAGGCAGTTTCATCTCATGAGTGCCTCGTATTATATCTCTTTTTAACATCTTGTAAGGTACTTTTTTCAGGCCGATTGCTTGGATGATTTATCATATGCCATTATGTATGAGGTAACCAAGCTGGCCTACCGAGTTTCAGACGCTGATGTGACACGTGCACGAAATCAGGTTAAACGCCCAACTGTTTTTTTCTCTCTTTCCCAAGATTGAGCTTTAGCTAGTTACATATGTGATCTGTCTAAAGCTTTTAGTTTCCTCGCTGTCTCTTCTAAGTCCTTACGTATTTGTAGATAGATTTTAAATGCCAACTGATTTTAAATTTCTCTGCAGCTGAAATCATCATTGTTACTTCACATGGATGGAACCAGCCCAATTGCTGAAGATATTGGTCGTCAGGTATGCAATGAATCATCTACGCATCTTGATAAGAACTTATAAGTTAAATGCATTGGTCAAAGATAACAAACCTTAACTTTCCTTATAGTTGGTGCTTGTCTTCAAAATCATTCTTATAAAGCGCCTGGATTTTTTGTTCTAAATGCAGCTGCTGACCTATGGACGTAGAATCCCAACTGCTGAACTGTTTGCTAGGATAGATGCTGTTGATGCCAGCACGGTTAAACGTGTTGCTAACAAATATATCTATGACAAGGTAAGTTATATCTCTCCCTTCCTCCCTCCCTCCCTCTCTATCCTCCAGGGTTTAGATATAGACTGCTAAACAAGAGTACAAAGCTCAAGAGTGATTTAGGGGATGTTTTTGGGATTATGTGCAGGACATTGCAATCTCAGCCATTGGTCCAATCCAAGATTTGCCAGACTACAACAAGTTCAGACGCAGAACCTACTGGAACCGGTACTAAGGCTCTAAAATAACGGTCACAGAACCGCAAGGTTCGCCCACGGGGAGATTCCGTAGGCGGAGAGAGCAGAACAAGGTGATGATGGATTCATTATTTTTGAGTTTTTCTTACTGTATCTCCATAATTCACCATCATCGCTGGTAAAATAAGTGTACCATTTACTCTTTTATCCTCTACTGGAAAAATGCTAGAGATCCTCTGTTTTATTTTTTTTTGTTCTCTTCATAATTTTCCCATACACACACTAAAGTTGTTTGATGTTTGGTTGAAAACTTGAATTGGATACATTTTATTTCTTCTTGCATTATTCCGTTTACAAATTTTATTAACACACTTGTGATTTGATCCAGTTGACAAATTTATTAAGATTCTCACAAGAAATTCCATCTCTTGCAACACTTTTCATCACAATCTCTTTAATATTCATAGCTCGTTCTTTATACTCTCCATAGTCACTCATGATCTCATCGATCTTCTTCTTCACCTCTAACCTCGGAACCACTCCTTGTTCGTCTCTTTCAAGTCCTAATCCAATCTTCCACACATCGCATATATATGCTTTGTTGATAAATTGGTCTGCGAAATAAGGGATGCATAGAAATGGTATACCATTTTGGGCTCCTTCCAGAGTTGAATTCCATCCACAATGGCTCACAAAACATCCAATGGCTCCACTAGAAAGGACCTCCTGTTGTGGAACCCATGTCACCAATTTGACCCGATCCGACCAGAGTTTGATTGGTTGTTGATCACCAGTAACCCACATAACTGGCCTGTGGAATCAACATAACTTATTAGATAATAGACAAAGTAAAATAAACCGGAAACACAAACCTGGTTATGTCCAAATCATTACCTCTTGGTAAGCTCTAGACCAATAGCTAGCTCTTCTAATTGAACGTTGCCCATAACCCCAAAACTCCCAAAGGCAACATATATAACCGAACCGGGAATCTGCCGGTCCAACCAATCTAGACAATCCCGGTCCTGAGGTAAAAAGCTCCCTAGTGACGTGGATCCCTCCTGCAGACTATGACCCCAACCAATGGGCCCAATCGGTAATATTTTCGGTCCCAATCGAAATGCTGCCGTTTCGAGTTCATAGACAGAGTTACACAACAACCAATCCGTTGACTCGATTGAGTTATTGTTTTGAAGCATAAGTTGGAATATGTTCTTCTGAGATTCTTTGTTCTTCAGACAAACCCACACAAACTTGTCTGTTTCCATCTTTGGCATCCCGGGAGATAACTGAATTGTCTTATTTACCCTCACAGTCCCTACATAAAGAAACAATAGCTATATAACGCAGCTTTTTCATAATTCTACTACCAATTTACCAATGAATCAGTTTTCCTAAAACATACTGAGAGAGTTTTAAAAATTTTGAAACGAAAGGTTGTTTGTTCTTACCATCAAAATCTATGAGACCATCATCGATAAGTTTTTGAATACTAAATCCAAGAACCATAGACGCAGCCGCGGCAGGACAAAACGCGGCGCGTCTGATCCCAAACTTAGCTGCAACTTCGATTGCCCATCCCAAGCTCTGATCCGCTACAACGCAGCTAATGATCGTACCGCAGCGGCCACCGCTAGCTTCTGCCATCATCCTCTCGATCAATTCCTCTACTTTCTTAGGCATAAAACGCAAAACAGACTCCGACAACTTCCCTGGAATGTTCCTCTCTTCTGGTGAATCTTCTAAACCGTCGGGGATTGAAACAAGATTGATCCCATCCCCAACATAATCTTCATGAGATGAATTGGGTAAGGA